TAGGTGTGTTTTTTATCGTGGAAATGACTTGGGCACTTGGAAGCATTCTGAGTTGAAAATCTTTGAGATACGTTATCATTTTCTTTTTGAATCTTTACAGTTGCATCTCCCCTACTTAATTTAACAGAAATCAATGTTAAAGCCAAGAAAATCAGTTATTTTTGGTTTGATATATAAAACTGCACTTTCCTCCACTGTTTATCAGACTTAAGTTCCAGATTTTCTATTTAAAGGTGGCAATCCAAATTTGGTTATTATTTAAACAGTGTCTGGGGAAATTATACTTGCATTTTCTTAAATGTTAAATATAAATATTTCTATTATAAGGAGAGCCTACGAAGTAGAACGTTTTCTATTGCTTGGTTACTTTTTTCTTTAAACGAAAAGATTTGTTTGATCTGCTCCATAAAAAGACTCAACTGTGGTTTTATGCTTAGTATAGTTCATTACTGCACTCAAAGATGATTTCAGGCTGTTAGCTTAAGACTTTCCTTTAAAGTAACTTTCGTATTAACTTTACCATGAGTATTTGTTATTACTATCTAAGATTTCATAAGTTAAATGAAATATTTCTGAGTATTACTTGGTATACTTAGAAATTTAGTGGTACTATTGAAAGTTGAATAGGTGTGGGACTGCCCTCTGTAAGAGTCATTCCATTGTTTCATGTTATACATCACATGTGAGAAAACGCTGCCATCCACCAAAGCCCCTCTCCCCTAAAATCCCTGCATGGTGACCCCCTAGACATGCCTGCATCTTTGTTATTTGCCTGCTGTTTACTGAAATAGCGGCCAGTCTGTCTTCCAGGCTTTCAGCATTTTATGTGTGGTTAGTCTTGGCGATTCCTTGGCAGATGGATCTGATTGTTGGTTTAAGATTTCATGCTTCATTGAAGCCTCTGGCTATTTGAGTCAAAAAGTGGTGATAACGTCTTATGTGCGATACAACTTTTTACTGTTATACCAATAAGCCAATAAAGCAAAGACCTGACTTACTAATAGCGGGAAGAGTTTCAATGGTAAAAGTATTCATTTTGGTTTCTTAGCCAATTCTGATATGGTTAAATACTTCTTACTGGCTTGAATAATGCTTTTTTTTTTTTTCACTTAAAGAATTTTGCTTTCACAAAGGCTTTAGCACAAGTGTTATTGAAATATGTAATGTGCTTATTTCCTAAATTTTTATGTTAACACTGACTTATGAGGATAGTTCTGTTTCTATTTTAGTTTGAAATTTTTAATATTTTTGAGTATATAAGAAATACATCTATTGCTTTAAAAATATATAAAATTAAAGAATTATGAAAACACTGTTCTCTCACTAATAATTTATTTTAAAAATTATAATTCTAACTATCAGTAAAAAATAATAATAATTCTAACTATCAGTGAAAATGCTCTACTTTTTTCAGATTTATAAGTTTTAAATATTAAGAACATTTTGACAAAACCTCTCTAAATATTAATTATTAGAGCATAAACTGTTAATTTCTGTGTCAGAAATTCTACAAATGTATGTCCTGGAAACAAAGTTTGACTTAAATTTTCAGTTTTTTAGGGAAGGTGTGCAACTTGTTAGTTCAACTTTATTAGAATGACATGGATAGGAATAAATATTACTCTTTCAGAAGATCATACTGAGTTTTTCAGAAACATAATAATTAGAGATGCATTTGAAAATTTATGTTTCTACAAGGGAATGTTAACCTAGTTCACTGTCATTTCTTGTGGACATTTTGGAAGTTAACAATATAGATACATAAGTGAAATGTACATAATTATACATCCTAAAGCTGTTTCTATTACACTAAATTTTTATACTGGTTTATAATATATATTTAGGCCTACACACAGATAAAAACATGGCCCAATCCTATATAATGAAAGGCTAATATGCAACTTGAACGGCAGAATGACCAGTCGCTGTGATGTGCACTGACCACCAGGGAGCAGACACTCAACGAAGGAGCTGCCCCCTGGTGGTCAGTGCGCTCCCACAGGGGAAGCGCCGCTTAGCCAGAAGCTGGGCTCATGGCTGGCGCGCACAGTAGCAGTGGCAGGAGCCTCTCCCGCCTCTGCAGCCTCTCCCGCCTCTGCAGCAGCACTAAAGATGTCCGACTGGGGAGCGGGCCTAAGCCATCAGTCAGACATCTCCTGAGGGTTCCCGGACTGCGAGAGGGTGCAGGCTGGGCTGAGGGGCCCTCCCCCTCCCCCCCCCGAGTGCATGAATTTTATGCACCGGGCCTCTAGTGATTAAATAAGATGTTAAATACAGGTATGTATACATAAGAACTTAAGATGAAAAGGCTCTGTATTTATTCCAGTGTACTAGCTCAGCACTTAAGCTGAAGCATGAGAGTACTTGTGTTTACAGCCCAGCATTTCTAAGTTCCAGCTATCTGATTCTGATTTTGCCAAGTTATTTTTTACTAATAAAAATGAAGGTAATGCCTGGCTGGTGT